AGTGCCATTTGAGGACACCTAGCGGAGCGAACCATTACTCGACTGTCAACTACGTCTGGAAAATCTTTTGCACAAATCTACTACTTCCTGGCCATTTTGTGAGATTGCCTATGCAACTGGGAAGGAACCTCTTCTTATGGCAAACAAAGAGCCAGCAGTTGTGAGCATTATCCGCTGAAGGAATCGACTATGAAAGAACATAATTACAGCTGAATTCCATAAATGATAGAGTGCCTTGCTAAGTTCAAGAAATATATATATGATGAGCTGTTATAACGTATATCGTTTACGCCCTTCTACCATTATCTGGCGCAAAACAGAGTAAGATCCCTAGTTTACCTGAAGTCATTCCTCTGCCCAGGAGTTAGCTATTAGGCAGCCAATATTGCGACTAGTGTGTGCAGCCACCACTGCATGTTGTACTTACAGATGAAACATATTTGTACGTGCAATTTAGAACTACGTCATTCAAAATTGACGTCAGCCTAAGAACATTCAGATTAAGTCAGGTTCACCCTGTTCAAGATAATATCGAATTTGGTTATCTCATCATCATAGCCCAAAGAAATGTATCTCATGCAAATCTAAGAGTTAGAAAAAAAATTCTTTCACTGGATATGATGACAGCCTATGCTACTAGCAAATTTTACCTTGTACACCATAAACAAAGTATATGATACGAACAATTTGAAGACCAAAATGCTTTTCAAAGGTGATAAAATCGATTTATCGTAAAATAAGGCTGCAAAATTCGTGGCAGCTGTTTTACACTAAATACTCTTTCAATCTATCTGAATATCAAAGCAGATGAAAGTGGCTTTGTACGATGTAAAACTTCACATATGTTTAACACATTAGAGACTAGAACGATGCGATATAAAGAATGTTTGTGAAAAGGAACATGAACGTGAGCAACAGCAGACAGAATTTTGAAGCGAATGACGTTATAAAAATTAGATGAGGTCTAGCACAGTGCGATCAACCCGAACTGTAGGATTTCGTTACCCTATAAGTAATTCAAATTACTTGATTAGGATGATGATAAATCATTGACTATGAGCCACGATGTATTTAAAAAAGAAAAAAAGGTTTTGGAGAAAAAATAAACATGCAGATGATACGAACTTTGCAACAATGGAACACGTTGTGATGTTGGCATCGATACATAAAGTATACCTACATATTCGGGAAACAGCAATACTCAAAGGAAAAAAATACCAAATTAGACAAGCGAGATCTCAGTGAACTAGTCAGCTTTCCGTTTCGCGAAACTTTGATGTCGTCTCG